GAGTAGGGGAAAATGAAACATGCATCAAGTTAAGGATTCTGAGCTTCAACACAGGAGGAAAAGTGCTAAAACACTGACTGCTGTGCACCCACCCCTCATCCACCCCCCTCTGTACTGGGAGCAGAACCACTGGGGGTCCCAGCTCCACACCAGCAGGCTGAGGCAGGGGGCTCTTACTCAGGTACTCAGGGATGAGGTCGTCACAGCTGTCCATGATGAAGACACGCCTCACATACAGTTTAATGTTATTCTTCTTCTTCTTGTTCTCGAAGAGGTCAAAAGGGGCACGGCGTGGGATGAAAAGCAGGGCCCTGAACTCCAGCTGCCCTTCCACAGAGAAGTGCTGTGGAGCCAGGAAAGAAACAGCTGCTGGGGTGCTTACTTCTACCCCTTCCCCCAGTACCCACTGTAGGGAGGCTGAACTGCTGTTCCTCAGCACTGGGGCTGGCATAGCAGGGTCTCCAGCATCCAAGCAACCTGGATTTTCTCCTCCTCAGCCCCACTGTCCCCTAGGTGCCAAGATTCTCTGGCATCCAGCAGGCTTGAACAGAGGAGTCATGCTTCTGAGGCCCAACACCCTCCTGTCCTGCTTACAGATTAGCACTGCCAACCCCTCCACCTGCATGGGAGTCACAGTGCAGGTTGCCACACCACCAGGTGGCCTGGGATCCCTCAGTTCTCAATATGGCCTGGAAAGGGACCCTCTGCCTCTCCCCAGAAGCCAGGGTAGTCCAGCACCCACCTTGACCGCCAAGTGGTCCTCCCAGTCATTGGTGAGGCTTTTGTAGAACTCGCCATACTCCTCCTGGGTGATGTCGTCAGGGTTGCGGGTCCAAATTGGCTTGGTCTTGTTCAGCTCCTCCTGGTCAATATACTTCTCCTTGATTTTCTTGGTCTTCTTCTTCTTGCCTTTGTCTCCCTCCTCCTCATCATCAGAGCCCACATCCTCAATTTTGGGTTTCTCCTCATCTTTGGACCCTGACTCTTCCTCTTCCTTCTCATCCTTCTCCTCCTCTGCCTCATCGTCGCTGATCTCTTTCTCACGTTCCTTCTCCAGCTGTAGAAAAAGGTACAAGAAACACTCAGGTTTAGCCCCAAGCAACTCTTACCAGAATCCATTTTTCTCCAGATGGGAAAAATGGGTGTCCTCCAAGGCCCAACAAATGCAACATGTGGAATCAAAGTTTCTCTTGGAACCACCCCTCAGAATCCCTCCTTGTGCCACAAAAAGCTGTGTCTCAGAGGATGAGACAAGCCAGCAGGAAACCCTCCTTCCTCTGTGGCTCCTTTAGATGGCCTCCAGCTGTACAGATCAAAGGCCAGAATCGCAGCTGGACACCCTTTGTTGTCCAATAAACCCCCAGCCTCAAAAGAAACTGGGAGCACCACTGCTCAGTACCCAACAGCCAAGAACTATGGAAGAGGAATCAAAGAGATCATACTCTGGGCCTTCTCTGTGCTCCTGTTTCCAACATCACCCACCCCTGCCTCCAGCTTTCCAGCGGGTCCCCACCGCCCTTTCCTTACGTACATAGAGCGTGATGGGGTAGCCAATGAACTGGGAGTGCTTCTTCACCACTTCTTTGACACGGCGCTCCTCCAAGTATTCGGTCTGGTCCTCCTTCAAGTACAGGATCACTTTGGTGCCACGTCCAATCGGTTCACCTGCACGGAGAGGAGAGAAACATTAGGGTTTCAGGGCATAGCATTAAAAGGGCAGAGAGCAACTGCAACCAGCTCCTCGAGCCTAAACACTACAGAATACCCAGGATTAACCAGTGTGACTGACAATGCAGCACAGCTCTAGGGAGCAGCAGGAAAAGGGACGCTTCTAGCAGAAAAAGGTGTTTGTTTCTTGGTACAATACGTACCATGGTCAGTTCGGACAGTGAAGGAGCCCCCAGCTGATGACTCCCAAGCATACTGCTCATCATCATTGTGCTTGGTAATGACAACCACCTTCTCTGCTACCAGATAGGCAGAATAGAAGCCCACACCGAACTGCCCAATCATGGAGATGTCTGCACCAGCCTGTGAAAGCAGAGAGCGACTGATGAGATCAGTGAAACGATAGAAAATGTCTACGACTGATTCGCAGCAGCGAAGAATTGGGTCAGCACACACAGAAGAACAGGCAAGCACCAACAGGCAGCCAGCCCTACCCTTAGCTCCTCCCTGCTGCTGGAAAGGTGGGGAAGCACACTGGGGTAGGCAAACAGCTCCCACAGCAAACAAGGCAGCAGGGCCTTTTAATTATTTATTTATTCCTCAGTATTTGTACACCAGTGCAAGCCTGTGTCCCAGGCCCCAGGGAACCCATGCAGTCAAAGACAACCCACCTGCAGGGCTTCCATGAAGGCTTTGGTCCCGGATTTGGCGATAGTGCCCAAATTGTTGATCAGATCCGCTTTTGTCATCCCAATGCCCGTGTCCACCAGGGTGAGGGTGCGGTCCCGGGGATTGGGGATGATGTCAATCTTGAGATCCTTCCCGCTGTCCAGCTTTGAGGGGTCGGTCAGGCTCTCGTAGCGGATCTTATCCAGGGCCTAGGGGAGAGGGGGATGCTCGCCACGGCCTCCCAGGACACCCAGGCCACGGCCTCTCCCCGGACACCCCCGGCAGGACACCAATCCGCGCCCCGGGTCCCCCCGCAGAGGAAGGAGCCCACCCCCCGCCCAGGCTCACGTCGGAGGCGTTAGAGATGAGTTCCCGCAGGAAGATCTCCTTGTTGGAATAGAAGGTGTTGATGATGAGCGACATGAGCTGAGCGATCTCCGCCTGGAAGGCGAAGGTCTCCGCATCCTCCTCATCGTGCTGCACTTTCTCGGGCATCTACAAGGCAAGCACAGCCCACGTTCAGGCCATTGGCACTGGGAGGCCGGCGGGGGCCCCGGGCACGCCCCGCTCGCCGCTCTGCCCTTACCGTCTGCGGCGTGAGAGACCGGCGAAAGAGATACTCTGGCTGCCGCCCCCTTTTATAGGCATGGAGAGGAGGGCCTCACAGCACGCCATATCTTTCCGCCTTAAAGGGGCCCTCGCCAACTCGCCGCAGATGAATGGTGTATGGGAGGCATTGGCGTTGCCGTTTAGCGGCGGCCATGGTGGCGGCGGGCGCCCAGTGCTCAGCTCATGTGGCTGCCATGCGGACTCCCGGCCGGGACTCTTGGCCGTCCCTCTCCACGGCGCTCGGAGGGCCGCAGACTGCGGCACCGGGACCCTCCGAGCGCCGCGGCGAGGGGTGGCGGGGAGCCCCGTTGAGGGACTATTTCCCGCGCCCCGCCGCGGAGGAACGCAGTGTGCGTGCTTAGCGGTGCACTCCGACCACTTCCGGAGGGCTTCACAGAGGTCACGGAGGTGTTGGTGGCGGCGCTTCCCCGGCTCCCGGCCCAGGGCAAGGAATCAGGGGTCTGCAGCCTTCCGGGAGGTGGCGGGCCGTGTAGCTCAGCTGTCCTGAGGTGGGGGTACACCAGGGGCCCAGAGGATGAGGAGGGAGGGGATGGGAAGTATCAGGGCTGGATCAGATCCGTGTCCCCATTGCAAACCGGTTTGAATAGGCTGTATTTCCAGTGTCTAAGGGAAGTAATAAGATAAGCCTTATCATCCCCGTATCTGGAGTGCTGTGTTCAGTTCTGGGCTCCTTGGAAAGAGAGAGACGGGGAGTTGCTGGAGCAGGTCTAGTGGAGGGCAACAAAGATGATGAGGGGACTGGAACATCTCTTGAGAGGAAAGGCTGAGGGAGATGGGTCTGCTCAGTTCGAGAAGAGATGAGTGATGAGGGGGGCATCTCGTCAGTGTGTGTATAAATATCTGAAGGGAGAGTGCCTAGGGGATGGATTCAGGCTCTGCTCGGTGGTACCAAGCGATAGGACAAGGGGCAAGAGACAGAAACTGGTGCACGGGGAGTTCCCCTGAACATGAGGAGGAACTTCTTTACTGTGCAGGTGACTGAGCACGGGCACAGATTACCCAGAGGGGTTGTGGGGTCTCCGTCGCTGGAAATATTCAAGAACCGTCTGGACACAATCCTGTGCCATGTGCTCTAGGATGACTCCGCTTGAGCAGGGAGATTAGACCAGGTGACCCACTCTGTTCCCTTCCAACCTGACCCAACCTGTTCCCTTCCAATCCTGTGATTTTGTGTTGAGGCTGTGGGCACACAGGCCTGACCAGCAAAGGAAGCTGGGATCAGGTGGCCCGAGTCCCTGTTCCTGATGCCTGGGGATGCCGAGGAGGTGATGGTTGTGAAAGTGGGCCAGAGTGGTGGTGGGGGAAGGTGGGGGGAGTGTCCCGCTGGCAGGCCGGTGTAATTCCCCTGCAGGATCAGGAGGTGGCACTCTGGCTGTTCCCAGACGCATGGAAAGCTCCCAGCTGAGTGTGCTGCAGATCATTGCACCCCATATAATGGCTAGTCTTCGTGAACGAAGATCTGGGGAAGGTCTTTACACCTTCCAGCCTGCGCACTGGATTTTTTAGGTGAGACACAGTGTGCACGGAACTGAGCCCACCCTTTAATCCTAAGGTTCATCTTCAGCCCTTGCACCTCCCCAGCCCCTCTCCCCTGCAGCGATGGAGACACACACACACCCCCAAAGGAGCATTTTGGTCTTTTTATAGAAAACGGCAACTGTACAGATACATTTACACAGACAAGGGACAGGAAAGCCAAGGGAAAGGTGAGGCTTCCCCCTGCAACCTTGGTGGGAAGGGAGTTGCTACCCCTTCTTGCAGCCCACAGTAGGACCTCCTGTCATACAACCAGGAGGCTGAAAAACAATGGCAGAATCACAAAAAAAAAAAAAAAAAAAAAAAAAAAAAAAAAAAAAAAAAAAAAAAAAAAAAAAAAAAAAAAAAAAAAAAAAAAAAAAAAAAAAAAAAC